GGTTCACTGATCAACTGGTTTAATAGTAGGTATAGTATGTATAGTATAGACTTACTTAGTGTTGGGTCTGTGGATAGGCTCACTGATCAAGTCATCAACAGATGTTTCATGTGACACGAGGTTGGGTAAGATTACTTCATGGACATTTTTTTCATCTTCTATGGAATCGTAGTCTATCTGGAATTCACGCGTGATGTTATCTTCTCTCTTCGAAGGAGGTGCTGTTACTGGTCTACAATATCAAACCAAACTTATCAATTTATATATTTTAAAACCATAATTCCCCGTACGGGGCTCTAGATCTTCCGTGAGGTTCCCTCCACACACACTACCAATACATTCATTATTTACGACACACAACAATTAGCTCATATGCCGATTTTTTACGAAGGGAGAAAAATCTGAGAGAGCAAAGCGTCAAACTAACTTATCTCACATTTACTGTGCGAACACACTAACCGGGACCTCTTGAATAAAACTGACCAATCAGATAACAGTAAAATAGACCGAGATTGAACTGATAACATGCGTTAGCAAATCAGATTATCACGTTCTCACGCTCTTATTATATCGATGCGCTATCTGATTGGCTGGTTAAATATATTGAACTAAATGTCGCAATATGATTGGTTAATGATACTAATTTATCCTAGTGGACTCGGTTGGAGTATCCGCACAGTAATCCACAACTGTAAGCATGAACTACATAGCTGTAAGAGACAGCGCTAAGCAACCGATGCCAGCAGGAAATAAAATAGACCCTTTTCGAGTTCCAAATTACCGCTGTGTTACTTGTTTACAAGCATGGTTGGCGTAGCGGTGTGAGCGCTCGACACTCACCAATGCGACCCGAGTTTGAGTCCCGCCGGGTTTGGTGTTGTATATGAGTAGAGTTGTTTGTTGGTTCACTCCTGTGCTTCGAGGGTTTTTCGGGTTCTCCGGTTTTCCTCCCTCCGCAAAAATCAACTTCTAAATTCTAATTCGATCACGGAATGAGGGCCACAGGTTTGTTAGCCATTGGCTATTAAGTGCTACTCTCGTGAAAAAAGGACAGTTTTTCTTACAGACTCATTTACTCAGGGTTAGCCTTGTACCAGTGTCTAAATAATCACAAATACCAACGGTAAAGTAAAGAATGCACAACTCCAACAATACAAACACTTAGAAATTCGAGGGACCTTGACTGGAACACGCGAATATTCTACACAAAATCGAGGCTAAGCCTGAGTAAATGAGTCTGTAATCAAGAAACACAGCGGTAATTTGGAACTCGAAAAGGGTCTATTGAGAATGGCACTGCAAGGCTGTTTGTTGTAGGAGGGGAGGGGTGGGGAGATAAACCTTACCTTGCTATGTTAGCTTTGTTTGCTTGTTTCTTTTCAGTGTTATCATTTGCTGATCCACGTCCCCTAGCAACAGCCTTGGGTTCTTCACTGCCAGCAGTCGCAGGTCTGTTCTTGGATGATCGCTTGATACGCTCCTCTAGGTAGCTGAGGTCTTTCTCATTCAACTAAATATTTCAATCATAACATGGAAAAGTTAACAAATAGACATCAGTTTTTATGTCTGTAAATTGCGTCATCACATTGTCAAAGTAGTGTGGATCTGCATAGAGCGGATGCAATTAAACCGTGAAACAAAACTCAACCAGAACATTTATTAAACAAAAGACACAAATGGTCTCTTGTGTATTTGTCTTTGTATGATGAATGCTTTGGTTGAGTGATAGCAACTATTAGTCACTAAATAGATACTATTAGTTAGTATTTAGTATGATTTTATTTCACGGTTTAATTGCATCCGCTCTACTACTTTGACAATGTGATGACGAAATTTATCTTCAATTAGAGGACAGACACAAAAAACTGATGTCTACTTGTTTTTCACAATAACAAAAACGATAAGAACTTCTTATTTTTAGCGATCAACCAACGGTAAGGGCGCGCGCTCGTTGACGTCAACCTTATCTGTCTGTCCTCTTATTGATGATAAAAAATAGCCAATCAGCGCGCGATAAATTTGTAAGTTATTGTAAAAATTAAAATTGCAGTTTTTTGTAGGGTTCTCATTGTAGCCCTGGGCCCAGTTGTACGAAGCCTGGATAGCGCTATCCGACAGATAAATCTTATCCAGTTGATAAATTTATTGAATAACAGCTTTGACTTATCCACTGGATGAGGATTTATCCGTCGGATAGCGCTATCCAGGCTTCGTACAACCAAGCCTTTCGTATCTTCTCTCAGGTTAAAACATATATCTTTCCCTTGAGTATGATTACAAAATATTTTTTCATACGCAAATGTCCCTTTATATGTTAATCATAAAAGAACAATTCTCAAGGGAATGACGAGTGGTCTAAAATGGACAATTTGCATACAAAGGTCTATAGACATGCACTGTGGTGTGTAATTCTTGTGTTGAGGGCAGGAGTCTCCCTCGCATCCGTTTTTAGTGTCGGTCGTCACGCAACGCTCCCTCCCCACAAGGAGAGGGTGCGTTGCGTGACGACCGACACTAAAAACGGATGCGAGGGAGACTAAGGGCTGGAGAAAGAAAGCGACATTCTTAACATGTTGTGACGTACCCTTCCAGCATATTTATAGACCGTATCTCCCACCAGGAAAAAGGCTTCTACCACGGTATTAAGAGCAGCGTTGCGCACACCATTATCTCGATCACCGATGTGGGATGCTATGTTAGCAATGGCTTTGGGAGGTGTTGGTTGGCACACATTCATGCCGTATACTTGAATAAGGCACCCCAGCTCCTCAAGACATTCTATAAAAATGAGTTAAATTGGTAAGCAACCTTGAGTAAACGGTCAAATGGAGAAAATGCTGCTGCTGTTGATCTATGATTATTAGGAATGTGGTTGAGTGCATTAGTGTCCTTACCCATTCTAGTCTTGGAATTCTTGGAGGTGAGTCCTTCAGTAACGTAGGTAAACATCTTGCTTGCTGGGTAGATCTTGGTCAACAGTTTAAAAAGCTTACGAATCATTTTTCTGATGACATCTTTAGGGTCACCAACCTGTTGTGAAAAAGATGAATCAAAGACTTAAGAACATAGATAATGACAATAAAAAATGAAAATGTCTTGATATGGCGAACTGAAAATATGATAAAATTGGTGATGATGATGATGGCAATGATGGTGGCGAGGATGATGATGGTGATGATGATGATGGTGTGGTGATGATGATGATGGCAATAGTGACAATGATGGGGATGGTGGTCACAATGATGGTGATAGTATAATGATAGAATGAATAATACAATAGTTGATGATGGATGACAATGTTGATGGTGATGATAATGGTGATGGTAAAAGTCTTCTCGGATAAGGACTTTAAACCGTAGGCCTTGTTCTCCCAACCATTCCTAACCTGCAGTGAAATGGGACACATAAAATAACCTGTTGAATTATTCGTATAAGAGTAGGGGATGGTCTCCCGGTTCAACAGCCTATCCCAATCTGGAGGCATTAATACTAACATACTAATAAATCACTCATGATTGTAAGCTGCACGGCTGCTAATAGCGCCTTAATATGCAGCCCGTAAAGTCCTCCACTGGTCATAATTGTAAAGCGCACTGAGACCATGTGAAATGCGCTATAGAAGCACCCCATTATTWTTTTTTTTAATGACAATGATGATGATGAATATAGAGGTGACAATGATGGTGACGGTATATTGATTAAGATGAATAATACAATAGTTGATGATGGTGATGATGATAATGATGATGATGGTGATGACGATGACGATGATATTAATGGTGATATTGATGAATATAGTAATGATGTTGACATGATAGTAAGTTGGTTATCCTGGTAAAGACTCACCTTCTGTATAAGGTATGGTATAAAGCTACAAGCCTCATGTTCCACCATCTGGTACCCTGACTCAGCCAACATAGTAAACAAGGCATCCAGGAATTCCAGACACTTCACCAGTACAGTGGTGTTGGTATCAAAGAACCTTAGGGTGACGTACTTCAGGATGAGATCTAAGGATTGAATGGCTTCTGTCTTGTATGGTGGGTCTTCATCATCACTTGGAGGGGTTACAGCCTGTACGGGGTGTTTAAGAGAAAACTCAAATTTCATTGAACCTGTAAACAACCTCTGGCCTGACCTAAATCAGGGCACAGCTAACTCATAGATTGAACCCTAAAACGACCTCTGGGCTGATCTAAGTCAGGGCACGGCTAACTCACAGATCGAACCCTGAAACAACCCCTGGCCTGACCTAAATCAGGGCACAGCCAACTCATAGATTGAACCCTAAAACGACCTCTGGGCTGATCTAAGTCAGGGCATGGCTAACTCACAGATTGAACCCTGAAACAACCTCTGGGCTGTTCTGAGTAAGGGCACAGCTAACTCACAGATGGAATTTGGATTTGGCTGGTTAGGTTTTGAAGAGGGAACAAATAAAACCCAGTGAAAAACCCTTGAACCAAAGCAGAGACTTAACAAACTCTAGAAGTCAAAACTGAGACCCAAAGCATTGATTTAAAAAATTCCCACCTGTTGTAAAGCATTCAGTGCGTTGACTTGTTGCTTGAAATCATGTGGATGAAACAAGTTGGTAAAAATTGCCTTCCCAAAACAAGGCCTCATCTGTTCTTTTAGCTGCTCTATGTATTCTTCTCTTGGAGTTGTGAAGTTCCACTTCATCACCTGTCATCAAACATTGGAATTATATGTGTGAGAATTTTTAATGCTTCCTTGAAGCCTTTGGACAATACTACTTGCAGGTTACTCTCTCAAAAGCAGAGGTTATGTGCATGGTAATGCATTTAATTTATACTGTGGTCATGGGTGTGACAGTTGTAACCTTAGTCATCGTCATCATCGTGATTCCAGTCAAAAAAATGATTAACATCACCAAAGTCATCATCACTATCACCACCATCATCATCATCATCATCACACCCTTACCACAACCACCATCATCATCACTATCACCACCACCACCACCACCATCATGATAACCATCATCACTATCATCATCAACATCACCACCACTACCATCATTATCCCTATCATCACTATGATCACCACCACCATCATGATAACCATCATCACTTTCATCATCATCATCACCATCATTGCCATCATCATCATCACTATGATCACTACCACCACCATCATCATCACCACCACCATCATCATCACCACCACCACACCAACAGCAGCCTGTGTGACAAATAGCATTTGTAAGCACTTGTTTCTTACTAGGAAGACAGTATTATATACTACATACCTTGAGTTCCTTCACATCTCTTATTCTATTTGTAAGCACTTGTTTCTTACTAGGAAGACAGTATTATATACTACATACCTTGAGTTCCTTCTCATCTCTTATTCTAT